TAGGATCCCACATATCCTATTACTCATTCTGTTTCTGAAATAAGATATTTATAAGTAACTCAGTTCAATTCCAATCAAAAAATATTTATTAAGCCCCTGCTTTTTTTAACAGTTAACACACAAACTGATACAAAAAATAACATATACCCTTCTCCTACTTCTTTAAAAGTTACCAAGTTAGGGCCAGTCGAGTGGCACATTAGTTAGGAGTTGGCTTGGGATACCAGCTCTGAGCAGCAGGGCCCCGGTTCGGATCCCACATGCGGGCCAGAGACGCTGCGCCCTCTACAGCTAAGATGGTGAACAACAGCTTGACCTGGAGCTGGGCTGCCATGAGTCTCCAGCAACGGCATATGCTACAGTGGGGCTGGCCGGCAGCGGGCGTGAGCTTTCGTGAGCCACCATGTGCGGCCGTCGAATGGCCAGCGAGCAACTGCCTCACCCGGAAAGAGCGCAATGATAATACCAACATGGGCCAGTGAAGTGACGTCCTCCACAACTAGACTGAAGAACAAAAGGACAGCAACTTGTCTGTTCCCCTTCCCTGATTCCCCAACGCTGTTCCCCTCCCCCAATTCCCCAATAAAATCTTAAAAAAAAAAAAGTTACCAAGTTATAACCCAGAGATAGCTACAAGGTTCATTATCAATGAATGCCTATTAAATCAAAATGTACAGAGTAACATTTTGGGAGACAAGTAAGTAAAATAAAATTAAAATTAAAATTAAAATGAAAGAAAATAAAAATTCTGAGCTATCATAAATATAGAACATATCATCATGTAATGCTAACACACACTATCAGAAGTACCTCGCAAAGTTATATCGGCGCTCTTAAAAAATTAAGAAATGAGTATGCCCTAGAAGAAATATAGGTGATCATTTTAATCTTTAAAAATGGCTATTACTTTATGCTCATAAATATTTATTAAATAGCTTTAAAATTAATAGCAGAAAGAGAAAATATATACAATATAATGTGCAAATTCCAAAGGTCGTTTTCCATTTTTCATTTACAGAGACCTTGGGGTTTCAGGCAGACAGTCAGAAGGCAGGCTGCCAACATCAATTCACACTTAAGCAAAACGTTTGCCAATTAAAACTGAGACACCTGTCTGAGTTAACTAAATTGTTCCCATTTTCAACAATGACAGGAAATTACAAGCATTACTGACTTGGCTCATCTGAAAGGAAATAACGTAGGTACCACGGCTAATTTTAAATTATCAGGCCAATACAACATAAAGGTTCTCTAATACAATATGGGTTATTTTTACTATGACTCATTCAGCTTTCCTGAAATGTGCGGATATAATATATCTCAGAAATAGCACTACATAATAACAACTTTTTAAAAAGTAAAGTATTCCTGTTAGGACAAACTTCTGACATTACTGAATTAAAACATTTTCCCAACATAGCTCACATGTATTTCAACATGCTGCACCACCATGAAAACACTGGCAAATTTTCTACCAACGAAGAGATTTCACCATCATTTTAGTAAACTTCAGGACAGTTCACTAAAACTCAATAAAATTCAGGACATATAAACCATTTGTTTGTTTGCTCAACAACTATTTACCAAATGTCCAATTACCATGGTCCCTGTCCCTCCAAGGGCTCACAGCCTTCGGGTAGGAGCACGAAGGCTTCTACTGCGCTTGCTCTTCCGTCGGCAGAGGAAGCCACCTCGTAGGCTCCGTACTTCACAACCCCGGTCCCAGGCCCCCAGCACTGCGGCCGGGGCAGGGAAACGGATGCCCAGCGGACAGAGCAGGCTGCTTGCCTCCTCCCTGCTCCTTCTCTCCCACATCCGTATAGCCAATTCCAAACGGGGCTTATCCACTTCAAAAATCCGATTCCGTGAAACCAGGAATGCTTCCCTACAAGCCAGTGACTGGATGGCCTGGCTCTTCACTGAAGGCTGTGGGTGCCCCAGCCCTCCCTTCTCTGAAATAGGTTCCTAGGCCGTCTGTAATCTGATGCTCAACACAAGCTTTCAGTGCTGAGGGAGGGGCACATCACTCCTTCCCCCATTTTACAGAAAAGAAAGATGAACTAAGCGGTTACCCTTACCACTATATAAGGATACACGTGGTGGAACACCAGGTTCAAACAATGCTACCTAAATTACAGATCTGAGTTGAGCAACGCAGCACCAAGCTGTAGGACAGAAACAAATCCTGTTCGGGCTTCTAGCCTATTTCATTCATTCTTATTCTGTGTACATCTGAGCAACAGATACAAGTAAAGCATTGAAGCACAGTACCAGGCCTTGCAGAAGACCTCAAGAACAAAGCCCAGACCCTAAAACTGGGAGTTTAAAGTCTTATGGGAAGAGAAGACACACACATAAATGGTTACAATATAAGCCCAAATATGATTCTTGTTCAAAAAGCAGCACAGACAAAAGTTCAAGGGTTTGGAAGTGGGGTAGCACCTAAAAGTGTTCCCTCTTGCCTAAAATATTCTTTTGGAATTATACAGGTTACAAATAAAGGATATTTATATACAGGATGTAGAGTTACACAGGATATAAATTCCAATGAAATTCTTCATTAAAACCAGGGGCCACTTCTAATTCATTTCATTATCTGGTTTAGTATGAGGCACAAAGAAGGGATAAGAGGAAAGGCTGGCAGATGAGAGGAAGAGTTGACGAGGGCTGACTTGGGTTTTTCTGGTGTATTCTGTATGCTTCCTTTGGGATTAGAAAAATGAATGGGGTGGTGCAGAGCCCAAAGTGCACATGGGGCCCAAAGCCCTCCTCACATGTAAGTTCCTTGCCCTATTTCCTACCAATTAAAGCTTCACTTGAGATTAACAAACTCATCTCTTTAGCAGCTGGGCCTAGTACTATGAAGCACTGTCATCAAACAGCTCTCCTCCAAAAGGAGGTCAGTCCTCAGGTCAGTTCCAATTTGGAGGAGTGCTGGAGGAGATGGGGCAAAATAATTATGTATTATAAAGCCCTTGGGGAAAAAGTATAAAAGTTGAATTTATGACATCACTGCAAGCGAGGAGGGTGAGTTAACTACCACCAGAAGCTATCAGAGTTAATTACTTCAGAAGTGCCTCACAACATATAGGAACAAGAACGGGAAAAGAAATTTGAAAAAAGAAAAGAAACAGGAAAAGAAAGATTTTTTAAAAAGGAAGCTATAGATCCCCACCCATAAGAAAAGTTTAAAAACATTAACTGTCTGAATGTAAACAGAGTATGTTAGTGTCGTTTCAGGATAGCTGTGGATAACATACATCCCATAATAAGCTGCTTATGAGACCAGTCCCAAGATGTTACTACTGACCCATGAGAGGTCAAGAGGAACACTTCTTATCATGCACTACATCTGTTTACCTCCGTCATCAAAAGAAACGCAAGCATCCATCATTTATCCTCGAGACACTTGTCCCTATCGAGCTCTGTGCTTCCCCACACTGACTCAAGTTCACCACCATTCCAGACCCCCACATCCTTCCCTGTGCCTCACTTCATGCAGACCTGAGTTCAAGGTCACCTTCCCCACCACCTTGTCTAAAACAGCCATTTCGGTCCCTGTTCTTATTACCTTACCCTGCTTTACGTTTCTCCTGCGCACTTCCATTGAACACCCATTTCTCTCTTTGTGTACTGTGTACTTCCCCCACAAGAATGTAAATTGATGAAAACTCCAAGAGGGAAAAGACTGTTTACTGCTATATCCCCAATGACCAACCAGCACATGCCTGGTATATATTAAGTATTCAACAGATATTAGTTGCATAAATTAATGGGAGGTACATAATAATTTTTAACGCATTTTTTTAAATGTTTGTAACATTTTACTTGTCAAATTCCTGAAAGTATATGTAACTAATAAATAGGGACATTTCCACATAGTAACCTAAACACAGATATGCTATAATGATAAACAACGAAGATTTCTAAGAAGTGGGAAAATAAAAGAGGCACCCAGAGTACTCAAAGGATTAACATCCAACCAATTCCAAAACACCATGTATAACAGAAAACAGTAACTTGCAAAATGTGTATTACAATACAAAGTAAGCAAGCTTTTCTTTCTACCAGATAAAAGTACTTTATTTTTGCCTTATATGAAAAATAACAAAGGAAGAAAGCATCAGAATTCTAACTTGATTCCTAACCACGATATAAAAATGCCTTTGAAAAAATGATGTATCTTAAACAACTTGTGTTCATTAAGGATATATGCATATCTTCTTTTTCTCCACAAAGCTAAAAAGATGCTGACTGACCCCTTTCTCTGTGACCTCTCTCTTCTTGAAAAGCTTTCTTCAAAGATCTTGAACCCTCAAACATCTACTACTCTTTCCTTTTTCACTGCCATTCTTTTCCAACTGTGATCTTTATCAGCTTTATTTTCATACACCCTAGTCCCGCCTTAATTCTTTGTAATGAGGTGAATTCCAGATATTCCACTGAAACTGTCCTAGAGATAAGCACGTGCTCCTAATTATCAAAGCCCACAGCCTTCTCTCTCCTGATTCTGTGCTGACAGCTGACAAGCACCCTCATGCTCTTGACACCACCTGCATCCTCCTCTCTATAACCTGTGCCCCCGGGGTTCACTCCCAGCTCCCGGAAGTCCTGTACTCATCCCATCACGTAGGCATCAGTTTTTCAAGAGTTGCATAACTTTGGTGGCTTTGGAGTAAAGATATAAACGTTTGCTCTGTCACTTCATTTACTCATTCAACATTTATTGAGCACCTATTATTGTGTGATGCCCTGGAAACAATGAACAGGAAATACCTAGTCACTTTGTCCTCAAATCCAAGCAAGTACAAAGAAAACATAATATACTTATGTTTAAATCAGCAGCGAAATAGATGCAGTTTGCAAACTGAGTTCTTGTTCCCTTAATTTCTACAAGTGGCAGTGTTTCAACACGAGCAATCTGAGGCAAGAATTTACCAGAGGCAAAATAATTCACAAGGAAAAAAAATGAAAATGGAAAGAAAGAAGACATTACTCACTGATGTAAATGCCAGGAGCTCCTCTTCAGTTAACTTATGCACTGGGTTATTCTTTTGGAAATTTGTGCTTTAAAATAAAAAAATGTAAAAAAGTGAATTATTTCTAAAATGCATGTTGTATCTAAGGAGATATAATTTTTAAAAGGCAAAGTAAATTCATTTTATACATTTGAAAGCATATATTTTAATATGATTGCATTATATACAAAAAATTACATATGAGGGCCGGCCGAGCGGCGCGATGGTTGAGAACTGGCTTGGGACGCCAGAGGGCCCCGGTTCGGATCCCACATATGAGGGCCAGTGACACTGCCCTCTACAGCTAAGATGCTGAACAACAGCTCAACCTGGAGCTGGGCGACGGCATAGGCTGCAGCCCCTGCTGCAGTGGGTTGCCATGGGCTACCGTGTGTAGCCAGCAGCCAGCGTAAGCGGCCAGCAGCTGCCATGAGTGGCCGTCCAGAAGCCAGAGACTGATGTGCCTGGCCCGGGAAGAGCGCAATGATGGTGCCAACTGGGGCCAGTGAAGCAACGTCCTCCACAACTAGACTGAAGAACAAAAGGACAGCAACCTGTCTGTTCCCCTTCCCCCAGTTCCCCAATAAAAAAAAAATCTTTAAAAAAAAAATGTGAGTAAATGTATTTTCTGAAAAGGCAAGAAAACGACAAACAAAATTCAAGAGAGCGGCCACCTTTTGAGGACGCAGAAGGAGCCGACGGGCGAGAAGCACACAGACTGGGCTAAAGATTTTACCTCTTCTAGTTCTTAAACCGGGTGGTGGGTTCATTTTATTATTACACTATATACTTATACGTTATATAAATTATTTTCTATGTAAACATTACTTATGCTAAGAATGACAAGAGGGTTGGCCGAGTGGTGCGTTGGTTAGCAGTTGGCTTGGGACGCCAGCTCTGAGCAGCAGGGCCCCAGTTTGGATCCCACATGAGGGCCAGTGACACTGCACCCTCTACAGCTAAGATGGTGAACAACAGCTCGACCTGGAGCTGGGCTGCCGTGAGTCGCCGGCGACGGCTAGGCTGCAGTGGGGCTGGCCGGCAGCTGGTGGGAGTTTTTGTGAGCTGCTGTGAGTGGCCATCCAAAGGCCAGCGAGCAACTGCCTCACCTGGGAAGAGCGCAATGATAATACCAACATGGGCCAGTGAAGTGATGTCCTCCACAACTAGACTGAAGAACCAAAGGAGAGCAACTTGTCTGTTCCCCTTCCCCGATTCCCCAATTAAAAAAAAAAAAAGAATGAAAAGAAATTACCACCCCACAAAATAGTGCCACTTCCTTGTAACTGTCAATACTGTTTGGGGATTTTACAATGAGCATAAATACGTAGATAATAATTTTTAAATGAACCTATTTTTATTGTTGGTGAGAAAAAAATAAATGAATGGGACAAGAATTATGAAATCATTTTGCTTAAAAAATATGTAACACACACACAGACATACTTAGACATTTCTGTTTGACTGCACAAAGGAATTATGTACCAGTCCGCAAGATGATCCAATTGACCTCTAAGGTCCTTTCAGGTCTCAGACTCTGAGGCGTGAACAGGGGCATGAAAGTCTGTCCGAGACAAGAACCTCATCCAAAAGGGATCAACATTCATCTCTCACATACAAAATTCCAGTCCTTAATTCAATACATACAGTATATAGCTAAAGTAAAATGCTACAGGCTCATTACAAATAATTACGACATAATCACTGAATCAGGCCACCATTCTTCATCATAATTTACTGATTTAGGCTTAGGATAGATTACTATGCATGCCTGAAAATCAGACTGTTAATTTTTAAAGGAATTACCTTTCCCCACTCTGGTAGTCTGAATTACGGTGTTTAAAGGAATTGCTGTGTTTAAAGGAATTCTTCCCACCATTACTTTACATAAAAGCAATCAGGTATACTGAGGTACAGAAGACATGGGTCCAGTACGTGGTCTTCAGGTAAAATCACGCTCAAGCAGGAGGCCCGAGATGGGCAAGAGTCCAAGGGAAGGGACAAGAAGCCGGCCGCCCTGTTTCGCCCATCTTCCATCTACGTACGTTCACTTCTCTGTCTCTTCTCCAAGCCAACCCACCCGACCACAATGTCCAAGTCACCTCTTCATAATGGCTAGTAACGGCCACAGGGATCAGCAGAGAGCAGGCGGTGTAACAAAATCACTGTTTACAACCTCCATAGTGCTCAGTTCCTACAAATCATCAATTCATTAATGTTCTAAGCCAAGAGGATTATAAACTACACCAGATGCTCCAAGGTATAGAATATAATCAAGTTATTTCTACCAAACAGTGGAGATTTAAATTGCCCATGAAATCTATTCAGCACTTTTAACTGTTGTGTATACTGAGATTCAATCAAGATGGTATTTGGGGGAAAAATAGTATTTGAAGACAAGCATTTTCTTCATTTTTTTAGCCCTATCTCAACTGTGAAGTCTAACTCAATACAGCTAAAGCTCAACTGACAGAATATATATATTTGGTCTGATTTAATTTCCTGATGAATCAACAATTACGAATTTGCCAAAATAATGTTCTAAGAAATAGCATAAAGGAGAACTCAGAATTAGGGGGTCAGTAAAACCTGGATTCAAGCCTAATTGCTGCTTCGTAATTCTGAGCAAGTCATTTAGCCATTTCATCCTTAATTTCCCATTTGAAAAATGGAGAAAAATAACAACCTGCAGGGTTATTAGAACATTAATGAGGGATAATATGCAAGTACATGGTATAACTCCTCGTACATAATATTGCTTGGAAACGGTTGCTACTTATTTTGTTCGTATACTAAGTATCATTATGAATTGAACAAATGATGTTTCGATAGTAAACATAAAAATTGTCATTGGAATCAAATAATGTGACAGGAGAGTAGATTTGGATATAGAAACAGAATTCTATATGTGTGGTCCCTTTAAACAAAAGGGGACTGTAGAACTGAATTCAACTTTTGTATAAATGAAAACCTACTGTTAGTGTAAAGGAGATAAAATGCTATGAGGTGAACACAAAAGGGTAAGATCTACTGTGTAAAGACAATTTTTTTTTATAACTGCTTGCTTTTTTAAATTGCCTATTACTAACGTAACTGGCCTCAATATTAAAACGGTGAAATATACTATTTTGAGCATTACTAAATCTCCAGATGAGAAATGGGATATTTATATAGTCTAAAAATACCTTCCAAAAAAATGTTAATTACAAATTAAAGAAGAAGCACTCTACATGGGAGAAGCCTGGCAAACACCACTTTAATCGTGTGATCACAGTTAACATCACCAGTAGCGGGACAAATCAAAATTGTGCTCTACCTGCTAGGATGCAGTTAAGAACCACAAAACTTCCCTTCTCGGGCCAGCCGAGTGGCACGTTGGTTAAGAGCTGGCTTGGGACGCCAGAGGGCCCCAGTTCGGATCCCACATATGAGGGCCAGTGACACTGCCCTCCACAGCTAAGATGCTGAACAACAGCTCAACCTGGAGCTGGGCTGCCGTGAGTCGCCGGCGACGGCGTAGGCTGCAGCCCCTGCTGCAGTGGGCTCCATAAGCTACAGTGTGTAGCCTCAGCCAGCGTGAGTGGCCAGCAGCCGCAGTGAGCGGCCGTCCAGAAGCCGGCGACTGATCTGCTTCACCCAGGAAGAGCGCAATGATGGTGCCAGCTTGGGCCAGTGAAGCGACATCCTCCACAACTAGACTGAAGAACAAAACAACAGCAACCTGTCTGTTCCTCTTCTCCCCGATTCCCCAATAAAATCTTTAAAAAAAACAAAACAAAAAACTTCCCTTCTCTGATATCCCTGCTAATGATGCATAATGTGAATCTAATCATAATTTTTTAAAACATCAGACAAATTCAAACTGATGGAAAGTCTACAAAATGCCTGGGTTTAAAGCTTCAAGTGTCTAGATCATGAAAATCAAGCAAAACAGAGTCACTATTCCACAGTGACGGAAACTAAAGAGACATGATAACTACACATATTCTAGACTGTTTCCTGTACTGTAAAGGAGATTATTGGGACAGCTGGCAAAACTTGAATGGGGTCTGAGTATTAAATGATAGTACAGTATGAATGTTGTAGCTATGTACAAAAATACCCTGCATATTGGAAACATCAAAGCATTCATGGGTGACAGAGTATCAAGTTGGAAATGATTCTCAAAAGTTCTCTGCAATGCATTGCACTTGGAATGGTTTTGCAAATTTGAAATTATTTCAAAAGAGGAAATAATATAAAAATAAAAGGAAAAACTATTTCCACCACAAATAAGGTTCTGTACTATTAAAAAATAATTCTATCCTTTGAAGCGTAAATATCCTCAGAGGTCAGAAGAGTCATTCTCACCTATCCTAAATACTTCTATCAAGGGTCTATTCCCAGCTAAGGCTAACCAAAGACGTTCTGCTTATGGAGGGAAGGGAAGGATAAGGATCCTAACTCACAGCAGATTCCTGAAATTCCCAATCGCTAGCCTGTAATCGGTTGCCCAACTCTTCCCAAACTTCCCAAGCGATACAAGATAACCTCTTCATTCAGAACTCTGGGGAACCTCCTGAATAAAGATTTCCCCAACACAAGAGAACCAACACACAAGGTGTTCAAACTATACAAGTCAGTCAACTCACCAGATTCCAAGGATAACAGCAAGCTCTTCAGCGCACAGGTTGGGCATCTGAAACTCTTCACAATCTGCAAATTTTATCTCATTTAGAACAGTATCATCATTGAGCTCAAGATTCTGGTGGAATACAAAAGAAAATATGTAGACGAAAAATTAAATTTGGTTCATTCAATAGACTGTATGCACCTGACTGCTAGGGAGGGATAAATTACGTTTTTGTTTAAGATTATATATACTGTCTGCATGTGGTCAATAGGCTTTCTTGTGAAACACGTATTTGGGGGCGATTTACTGTGTAGAAATGGAGGACATGCCATCTGTACCTCAGGAATGTACTGACAATATCAATAACAAGGAATAACAGTTACCACTGACTGAGCCTATTATAGAAAAGCCCCTTTGCTGATGCATCAGGATTCAAAACCAGATTTTTCTACTCTGCCTCTAAATTCTAATCTACAACATCAACTCCCAACCCTGTTTCTCAATAGGATCTAGAATAGCCAATACAATTTGAAAAAGAATAAAATCTGAGGACTTGGAGGACTTGGTAGAATACTTGATTTTAAGAATAACTACAAATCCAAGACAGTGTGGTATGTGGTACTGGCATGAGGACAGACATATAGATGAATGAAATAAAATAGAGTCCAAAATTTCAGACCAACATTATGAGGTCAACTGATTTTCAACGAAGATGCATAGGTGATTCAACAGAGGAAAGTCTTTTCAATAAATGATTTTGAAACTGGATATCCATTTAGAAAAAAAATGACTCTCACCCCATCTCATACCATATACAAAGATTAAATCAAAATAAATCACAGACCCTATGTAGAAGCTAATAGTAAAAAAAACTTCTAGAAGAAATCTTATGAGAAAAGCTTTGCAACTTTGGGGTAGGCAGACAGTCCTTAACTAGGACACAAAAAACCTGAGTCATCAGAGAAAAACTTCATAAATTGGACTTCATCAGATTAAAAACTTCCTCTTTGAAAACATTGTTAAAAAAAATGAAAAGCCAAGCTACAGACTCAGAGAATATATTTACAAAACAAATATCTGAAAAGGGGCTTGTATCAAAATATGGAGAATTCTACAACTCAATAATAAGAGAATAAACAATCCAATATAAAAATGGACAAAAGATTTGTTCACTTCATAAAAGAAAATATACAAATAGCCAATCAGCACACAAAAAATCTTGGACAACGGTAGTCAACAGAGAAATACTAATTAAAATCTAAAAGACTGACAATACTAAATATTGACAAGAGTCTGGTAGAAAAGTCAAATGATACCACCACAGAACACAGTTTGCCAGTTTCTTATAATAAACATATATTTATCATGTGCTATCCACGCCACTCCTAAGTAGTTACCCATGAGAAATGAAAACATATGTCTTCACAAAGACATGTATATAAATGTTCATTTATATACAGTTTTATCTGTAAAAGCCCCAAACTGGAAACAATCCAATATCTGTCAACAGGTAAAAAGATATATAGATAGATGACTAGATAGGTAGGTAGGTAGATAGATAGATAGATAGCTTTTATATTCATCCAATGGAATTCTAATCAGCAATAAAAAGAAACTATTGACACATGCAACCACATAAATTCTGAGCAAAAGAGACCAGACAAAAGAGTACATACTGTATGATTCCATTCATATGAAATTCTAGAAAAGGCAAACTATCTGTAGTCACAGAAAGCAGATCAATAATTGTGTAGGGCCAGAGAGGTGGTGGACTAACTACAAAGAGGCATGGTGGAACTTTGTTAGGGTAATGGCTGTATCTTGACTATAATGGTTGGATGTGTATATGTGTCAAATCTCATCAAACTGTACAATTAAATGGGTCAATTTTTCTACATGTAAGTTATATTTCAATATAATTGATTTTTTATGAATTATCAAAAAACAAATCACAATGAGATACCACTACACACACACTCACTAGAATGGCAAAATTAAAAAGACTGTCAATATCAACCACTGACAAGGATGTACAGCAACGGTGCATTGATGGTGGGAACATAACATGGTGCGTCCACTTTGGAAAACAGTCTGGCAGTTTCTCACATGCTAAAAATACACTTACCACATAACCCAGCCTTTCCATCCCTCGGTATTTACCCACGAGAATTAAAACCAGATGTTCACATAAAGACTTACACACAACTGTTCCAAGTAGCTTTATTCACAATAGCCAAAAACTAGAAGCAGCTCAATTGTCCACCAACAGGTGAATGGATAAACACATTGTGGTATCAGCTTAGCAATAAACAGGAGCCAACTATTGGTATCAAAATATTGATGAATTTCAAAACATTATGCTAAGTGAAAGAAACCAGACACAAAAGAGTCATACTATATGATTCTATTTATTTGAAATTCTAGAAAAGAAACAGCTCTACTCTGTGACAGAAAGCAGATCAGTGGGAGGGAAACTGATTGCAAAGGAGTATGTGTAGACTTGTGGGCATAATGGAAATGGTTCTATATTTTGATTATGGTGGTAGTTACATAGGTCTATCCATCAAAACTCATCAAACAGTACATTTAAAATAGGTGTCATTTATTTTATGTAACTTTTTCCTCAAAAGACTTGACTTACATTTTTGTTTTCTAATGCAAACAAGTAACTAAAACAAGGAAGACTTCAGGAGTTAAAAGGAGCTGGGCAGAGCCCTCACCCCCTTTTGGCTTCAGAAGGCCGGAAATGATCTATAACTGAAAGGTCGATCTCTTAACTGGTCATCCCGTAACTGGTAAACGGTTACCTGCCCAAAGGAACAGCTTTCCTTGTTTACACTCAAATTCATCCTAAGTGTAGGCCCAGCTCTATCTACATGGTTTCAAGAAAGAGCACAACAACCTCCAACAACCACTGGCAGGAGCAACACAGAACTTCGGGCAGTTGCTCAGCCGCCACTGAAAACGAGCCCCTTCCTCCAGGACCCGGCATCCTTCAAAGGCAGGGCGGGCAGGTACACAGTGCACCCTGGTGGCCATCAGTTTTCAACACAGGCCTTTCGTCATTTTAAAAATAGACATATATAATTTTAAATTTTCTAATAGCTACACTTAAAAAAGCAAAAAACAAAAAAGATTAAATGAGTTAACATAATACATCAAAAATATTATCTTTGTAACATGTATCAACAGAATATTATTAATTAGATACTACACATTCTTTTTTGTACACAGTCAATGAAACCTGGTGTCTTTTACACGTCAGCACATCTCAGTGTGGATCAACCAACTTTCAAGTGATTAACAATCACGTGTGGCTGATGGCTACCACACTGGACAGGTCAGCCCTAGAGTATCCCAGAACTCTCACCTTTGTACATCCTGATAGGGTTGTATCAACCTGCTTGTTAATACCCAATGATTAATAACACATTTGTAGAGTGCCTTTACGAATATAATCTGACCCTTTTAACAAAGTGTAACGTGGGAAAAACAAATGAGGAACCTAAGACTATAATAACTTTCCCATGTTCTCACCCAGGCTAGACAATAATGATGTAACAGGGAGCCCAGTCTCTTCCTCCCAGCCCCCAGGGCTCTTCTCCATCACAGGAGCCCTGAGACACATCAGTGTTAGCAACAGGACATTACTTATTTGCCAGTGACAAGTAGGTAATCAAAACAGTTCTGATCTTCATTCAAGATTCTCTATGTTCCTATTCAGCTCTTTTTGAAATCAAAATACGCCTACTGTAGTACCAACTTATACAACTGTTTTACAAGCCCCAAATTTAAAATATTCTTCTATTTTAGTCCCACTTGAACCTCTGAATCAAGAAATTAGCTACAGGGCCGGCCTAGTGGCGCGTTGCTTAAGAGCTGGCTTGGGACGCCAGAGGGCCCCGGTTCGGATCCCACATATGAGGGCCAGTGACACTGCCCTCCACAGCTAAG